GGAGAAAAATTGGAAAACCTAAAGGAATACACAAATCTTTTTTGGTCTTTCAAACTATGACATCTCTTAGGATCAATCTGTATCTTGGTAATGTAATCATTTTTATTTTCTCAAACATCCCCAAAGTGGAACCTTGGGGGGATGACATAGGACGGTACCCTTGAACTCCTGTTTGACTTGCTGCAGAAATCTCTTGTCTGAGTCTCCCTTTAAATCTCACCATCGGGCCATCTGCTTCCCTGCTTAATTACACCAGTGTTTCCCCCCCAGCTCTTCTTCTTCTTCCTACTGCCCTAGCAACCATGCGGTGGACTCTACTCATTTTCTACCCAGACACTTGAATGAATTGCTTTCTGCAGTTGGCCTCTGCGCAGTGAGAAAGGAATGGATGCCCAAATGCAGGGCTCTCCTTCCTAACACCGAGCTAAGAGAGGTCCCCCCCCCCCCCCCCGCCACACACACACACCTGTCATCCTGGGCCCTCACCGGAGTGCTGTGTGCTGTGGTGTCCTGGCCGCTGCTGCCACCCACCCCTCTTGCAGACAAGAGGATGCTCAGAATTGTCCACAAGACACGCGAGCGCAAGGCAGGGCTAAGATCCGGCCCCGCAGCCAGTTACCACCGGGGAACTGGCTCGCCCACGCGAGCCCCGCATTTCCTCACTTCCCACGTTGCTCACGATGGAATGGCAGGGGTTCGGGCAGGGATTCCAGGTGGGAAACATTCTCACAATAAAGGTATTCTTTGATGCTAAGATGTAGCCCATCTTCCAAGACTTTTTTGTTTTTTTAATTAAGTTTACTGGTTAGTACAATTATATAGGTTTCAAGTGTGCACTTCTATGATACATCATCTGTATGTTACATTGAGGGCACGCCAGCTTTCCTGGTCGTTCTGAGAGCGTCGATCTTCAGTGTTGTTCTTTCAGTACCAGAAATGCAGGCTCCTCCGTTTGCTATAACAACTCTTCAAACTTATGGGAATTTTAAATGCGTCCGTAACATTTTAACCGCCATTCTAATCACTCTGGCCATAGAGAGAAAGGAAAAGGCATGCCACTTCTGAAGATGTCTCATTTTGAGGCGTGCCAGCAAGGTGATCGTAGGCAGCAATAGAGGTGGATGTGGAGAGCAGAGAAATAGTGAGCAATGATACAGGATGGAAGGGACACACACACACACACACACACACAAATCACGTTTGGAAAACGAAAAAATACTGAGGCTTCTTTAAAAAAACAAACCAAACAAACACTTAGAGGTGGGTTTGTGTGTGTGTGTGTGTGTTTCTCCAAACCAACAATCTGGCTTAATGCCAGTGGCTAACTTGCTGGCCTTCTGTGTGACTTGCCCACTTAAAGTGAGGTCAGCCCTTCCTGTTTGCATCTCGTTCCCACTGTAGCTGCTCAGTTAGCTCAGGAAGGTGAAAACCCTTCGTTTCTTGGAGAAGAGCGGCTGGGAGGCAGGTTCTCGTTCCCGGGGCTGGTCGGGGCCCACAGCGGTCGGGTGCTGCTTGGTCAGGGTTGCGGAGTGAGGTTGGCATCTCGTCTTCCTGGGCGTTTCCCTCCAATAGCCTCCAATAGCCGTGCGGAGCTCCCTGTGGCCAGGGGGCGGGGTCTTGTGATGAGATGCTGCTCGTACCCACCCGTCAAGGTTCCCTGGTCTGCCAGAGGGGTGGGTGGCAGCAGCGGCCAGGACACCACAGCACACAACACTCAGGTGAGGGCCCAGGATGACAGGTGTGTGTATGGGCGGGGGCGGGGGGGTGGTGGTGAGAGGTGGTTGACCCTCCAGAGGAACTTCACCTGGGTTGCCTTCAGCCAGGTGACTCCATCCTGTACGTCCCCTGAGATCTGGTCTCTGCTTTAGCCTTCTCTCCCCTCACTTCTGCCCACAGACCCAACTTTCCCGCCTTTGGGGACCACATGCAAGCTCCTGGACACCGCAGGCCACTTCTACCCTGCGAGGCCCTCCTATGCCTCCCGTCTGCTCTCTAATAGCCTCCTATCATATAACCGAGCCTGGGACACCTCCCCTGGGAAGCCTGCCAACCCTCCATCCAGATCAGGTGTCCCTCCTGTGTGTCCCCAAAGCCGCCCTGCCCTTGTGGCGCTGGATTGTAACTGCTCGCCTGTTTCTCCTGAAAGCCCTCTGTCTCTGTCCCTCGGGCCCCGCCCGCTGCCTGGCATAAAGTGAGCACCCGGTAAACCTCACAAGGAACATATGTGAAGTTCCCTGTATAACCTCGGCCACCGCAGACCCAGCCACCAGCTGTGAGTTCTCCGGCCGGGCCCTTCAGTTTGCAAACCTGGAGCTCCCATGGCCTCTCAGCCTGCCGGGAGAAGTTGTATTTGACGTTAGAAGCTTCAGTTTGTAGTGGTGATTTTTTTCCCCCAGCAGTAAAATTTCAGCAATTACACTCTGTGCCAGAACCCCAAGCTCCGTCTCTCCCCTCGGGAGTTCCCCCGCTTAATTGCAGTGCTGAGCCCGGGGAAGCTGCCCGTCCTGAAATGGGGAGGAAACCACGAGCTGTGGCTGCTGCTTTTCCTTGGTAGCTGGGAGGTGGGCTGTCCTGTGGGGTGTTGGCTTGTTTCTAATTGCTGCCCCCACTTCGCCTCCGCCCAGGGCCCCGTGCGGTTTGCATCCCTTCTGCCAGAGCTACTGGGACGTGTAATAAGAAGCTGTTTTTCAGACTCTTAGTTAAAACAGGTTCGTGAGATCAGAGCCAGAGCACAGCCTCCCCAGCCCCGGATGTCAGAACTCATTCCAAATGAGCCAGCCCTGCCTGGAGTCTCCCTCACGGCAGGCGTGGCTGGAGTGGCTGGAGTGGCGGCACGTTAGAAACATTAGGGTAATGTTAGAAACTAGAGTGGTTGGACCATCTCTACTAATAAAAGGGTAATATGCTAATTAGACTGGACATCATTCCAAACGTCCTTTCTGATAAAGCCAGGGCCTGAGCGAAGCTGCCCAGGGTCCCGGGGGCTGGCAGCCGGCTTGGGCAAAGCAGTCCCAGATTGTAAAGAGGGATATCCAACTGCCAGTTTAGGCCCGATCCCCCTAAACTAGCAGTCAGACATCCCTTGAGGGGTCCCAGATTGTGAGAGGGTGCAGGCTGGGCTGAGGGACCCCACCACCCCCATGCATGAATTTCATGCACCGGGCCTCTAGTTTTAAAATAATATTCTGTGGACGTCAAGGAAAGTTGTGTTTCTTTGTTTTTGCTGCTAATTCTCACCCGAGGATATTTTTCCCGTTGATTTTTTTGAGAGTGGAAGGGAGGGAGGGGCATAGAGAGAAACATGGATGTGAGAGAGACACATGGATTGCTTGCCTCCCACATACACCCCGACCAAGGTGGGGGTCGAACCTGCAACCCAGGTACATACCCTTGCCCGGGAATCAAACCTGCAACCCTTTGGTGGATGGGCGACACTCTAACCACTGAGCAACACCAGCTAGGGCAAGTTGTTCAGCTTCAGGTTTTAAGAATCAGTCCAATTCCCCCACCTACTAGCTCAGGTCTCCTCTCCCTGAGTGGGCCACTCCCCACCCCCCGTCTCTCCCGTGAGTGATGAGCAGTGGGGACTTGGCTTCTTGGTGCCCTGCTCAGACTTGCTCTGCTCCATCTGGACGCCTGCCTCCCACGGAGCATCCTGGCCCAGGAAGTAGGACTCCTACACTTTCCTCTTCCTTGGACTCTAACTTGGGAGCCTGGGGACACTCAGTCCGCAGGAGACAGGGACACCTTGTACAGAAAGGCCAGGAACTCCAGGGTTCAACAGCTGTGATTCAAAACCCCTGTTAGCCTTGGGCCCTGGGCACCTAGCCTTGCACCTTTATTTCCCTTTTATTGTACCACTAGAGGCCTAGTGCACAAAATTCATGCGGGGGGGGGGGGTCCCTCAGCCCAGACTGTACTCTCTCTAATCCAGGACCCCTAGGGGGATGTCCAACTGCCAGTTTAGGTAGGGCCTAAACCGGCAGTCAGACATCCCTCTCACAATCTGGGACCACTGGTTCCTAACCGCTCACCTGCCTGCCTGCCTGCCTGATGCCCCTAACTGCTCCCCTGTTGGTCTGATCGCCCCTAACTGCCTCTGCCTCAGCCCCGCCACCGTGCCTTTGTCTGGAAGGACATCCAGAAGATGTCTGGTCTAATTAGCATATTACCCTTTTAAATTAGCATATTACCCTTTTATTAGTATAGATGGAGGATAATGAGCCCTAGCTCACAGGGTTTGGGCGTGTCGCTCATCATTCTAGAACACCCAGCACCGTGCTTGGCCTCTCATAGGTGTCCACTCTATGTCTGTTTTCCTCCCTTCCCTGCCTCTGCTTTCCTTACGTGACTATCAACCTCTCATTCCCTTGGCTCCTAAAGTCCTTGGGCTCCCAGGGAAAGAACACAAGGCCCGAAGTCAGGCTTTTCTTCCAGCTCCATTGAGGACTAGCTCTGGGCAGAATCCATATTTATCTCGACTCAGAGGAGCTTTGATCAGCCAGACAGCAGGGACGCGAGGGGCGAGCGCTGCAGGGTGCGGGCAGATGCTCCCCACCCGCCCATGCTGCCAGCTCCAGGGATGTTTGGAAGATGAGTAAGGTAATGCCTTCCATATGCTCAAGAGACGGTGACTGCGCGCCATGCACCGAGAGTGGAGGAGCCCCCGCTCATGAGCAGAGTGACCCTGGACAAGACCTTCATTGTTCTGGGCCGCAGTGACCTCATCACAAATGTGAAGACAGTGAAATCCCACCTCACAGTGGCAGTGGTGAGGATCACAAGGGGCAGGCCACGGGGAAGGCCTTTGTAAGCCGTGAAACGCTCCGCAAATGTCAGCCGGCTTCGCCGCTCACGGGTGTGTGTGTTTATTGTTGCAGCGGAGGGTGCAGGACGTCATCAGCCCCATCGTGTTCGAAGCCGCCTACAGCCTGGGGCCGCATGTGAGCGGAGAGGAGGAGCGGGAGCTGCCGGCTCTGACACCCGTGCTGCGCTGGAAGAAGGGACAGAAGATCGCCCAGAAGAACCAGGTCAGAACCTTAAAGCCCACAACCGGGACCCCAGGGGGCAGGTCTAGGTGGCAGGAGTCACAGCCCTGGCTGCCTGGGGGACAGGACCGAGGCCAAGGCACACCCCCCTCTCTGGGCCTCCCTTTCCTCATCGGCAAACAGATGAAATTTATGATTTGGGGTGTGGCTTCTCACAACCACGTGGTTGGAACGCATTAAGGCTGTTCTCAGGCAATTAGAAAATTATAATCCCTTAGAGGTCATGAGCTGACCCCCTGGCCCCTGAACTAGACTGTTTCGAGAGCTCAGATAGGCACATAGTAGGGTCTCTGTTTGTGTTTTATTGGTGGGGGAGTGAGTGGGGTGGAGGAGGAAGAACCTCGTCTTGCTAGAATTGGTTGTGGATTAAAAATGCCCGACCCAGGTGTCTCTGGGAGCCAGCGCCCGTGAGTGCAGGTGGGCCACCCGCCCCATGCGACACTCATCGGATTCCACTATGTCCCATTGGGTGGAGGAACTTCGGAATGATGCCCTGAGCCATCTGAGATGTGCAGGGCTGACTACTGAGCAGGAAACATGCAAAGACTCTGTGAAGCCAACTTGTTTTAAATCTTTAACACCCAACATTGCCTCTGGCCCAGGGCCTGGGGCCCACCCTCCACGGTTCTTCTGGCTGCGCTGAGCTTGTGGGAAAGCATGCAGACCAGTGGGCCACACTCTGCATATTAGAGTTGTAAACAGAACCACAGAGAGGTGTTTGGGGTTCGAGATGTCTGGCCGGGTGTTCAGTTAAGTGGTGATTTTTTTTTAAAGGCATCCTATTTTCCTCCCAATGTCTCTCCCATGTGGTCTTGGGTTGGGTTTCCCGGAAACAGAGCCCAAGATGGATTGGAGAGCATCTGGTCTAGTGAGGCGGTGGGAAGAACTGTGAGGGAATGAGGAAAGGGGAAGGGACTGAGCGAGGATGTGGCTTCAGCTCAAGTCTAGCCTTGGCCCGAGGTGGGAAACTCTGGAGCATACATTACACCGGAGCTGTCCTCTGCTTGAGGCAAGGGGCTGGCCCTTGGTTACCCATTAGCCACTGGCTGGCCGCCAATGGGGATGGTGGCAGAGTAGAACCCTCCTTGAAGGAGACCCCCTCAGCTGAGGACAGGGCTCTGGAGAAGCATGCAGATGGGCGCCACTGGCTGCCCACACTCCCATTCACTGGAGGTTTGGGGGGCAGGAGCTGGGAAGGGAACTGGGCAGGGCTCACAGTGCCCATCACCCGTACACACACAGCCTGTTGGCGACACCGCCCTTTTGAATGCTTGTTTTGAATTCAAACATGAACTTCTTTCAAAACACAAGTGCCCTGGAGGTGGCCAGTATGTCCTGCTGGTCATTGATACTTGGGGCAGGTTCTGGGAGATGGAGGGGAGAGACCAGGAGGACACTGGGGCTTAGGTGGGGGTGGGGGAGAGTCGGAGAGTTGGGGTGAAGGAGAGGCATGAAGAAGGTGAGGAGAAGAGGAGAGGAAAACAAGATAAAGAGGCAGGGCAGGAAGCTGATGACTTCACCTTGACCAAGGTGTAGAGCTTGGTGTCACCTCCCAACAGGAGGAAGTCAGAGTTAATTTCTAGGTATGTAGTCCCTAGTCCTAGTATCACTCTGCTCTCGGAGGTGGAATCCCCCTGGCCTAATAAACCTGTGTTACAGGAGTGGTCCAAACTCAGGGGAATCATTCCAGGGGACAGGGTGCTTGTTATGTCTCTGAAATGACCCCAGTGAGGTGCCATCTACTCTGTCCAGCATCTTGCTCCCCTGGGCGTACCTTCCCGCAGGGAACCCAGCTCTCATTCGCCAGATCCCTCAGTGGCTCAGAGCAGGCCTTCAGGGAAGAGCATCTCACAGCCCCTCCTGGCATCTTTGGAGTTAAGCATCCTCGTCAAAGCCGGGGACAGAGACAGATCAGTATGAAAATGGTATTCTTAGGCACTTTTGGTGCGAGATGGTCGGCAAGCATAGGTATCTATGTCTGTGCTTTCTGAGATCCATTGGGATGAGTAATGAATGAGTGAATCCGAACAGGAAGGTGAAGGAATACTGCAGGGGGAGGGGCATCAGTCGGTGAGGAAGTCTGTCAAGTTTTTTAGTGAGTAAAGAAAATGGGAGCCTGTCAGTGGGTGAACCTTGCACCACACACAGAGGCTGGGTGCCTGTCGACCCACCCATGCACCCAGCGAGGCTGCAGCCACGGCCAGGCCAGTAGGATGGGGCTGAAAGCAGGGAGGGGCTGTTGAGTGAAGGTTGGTATGTGGAAGGGTTGGTTTTCCACCCCTCTCCTTGCCCCCACATGCAGAATAGCAACAACCAGGCATTTTCTTCTCTAAAGAACTGAATCCAACTGAATCCGGAGTGGCTCAGTTGGTTGAGCGTCGTCCCATGCACTAAAAGGTTGCTGGTTTGATCCCCGGTTGGGGAGGATACGGAAGGCAGTTGATCAATCTTTCCCAATTACCACCCCCCTCCCCCACTTTCCTCTCTCTCCTTCTCCCTTCCTCTCTCTAAGCATGTCCTCAGGTGAGGATTTAATAAAAAAACAAAACCAGAATTGAATAAACTGCTTGTGAGATAGTGTGGTTTCCCAGAGGATCAGCCTTACTTCTGGCATTTCTCCAAATGCATGAGCTAGCTTCCGCTCCCACCATCACCCAAACACTCCCACAGTTTCCAGTCTGCCCTGTTACCTGTTCTTAAATATGAATGAACAACCAAGGAAACCTGAGATTGGGGAGAAATGTTATATGAAAGAAATAAACCTGCAGAATAACTGATTAGAAGGAAAAAAACTATTTAGGGAATAGAAGTGATTATACAAAATTTAAAACCAACCTAAACTCTATGTAATACACATAAAGAGATTTAAGAATATATTCTACCCAGAGAATAAGGAAAGCGTTCTTGAAAATGAATAATATGGTTGCAGAGCTGAAAATGTAGTAGAAGGATTAGAAGACAATGGTTATAGGATGGAGTGTAAATGTCATTAAATTTGACTGTGTAGAGGTAAAATTAGAAATACAGAAGTTCTCTTAGTATCTTAATGTTCTAAATTGGTGAGCCAAGAGGTATTGTAAAACTTGGTGAAATAAGAGATAGTTGTTTATTCCTTAAAATCGCAGAGGCCACCAGCAGAGCAGTGCTGCTCAAAGTGCGGTCACTTGGGGTCTTCTGAGAAATGAACATTCTCAGGCCCCACCCCAGACCCATTGGATTAGATGTTCATGGGTGTGTCCCGGCAACCTGTGTTTTAACCAGCTGAGCAGGTAATTCTGCTGCAGTCATACTTGAGAATCACTGCAGTGGAGTCGCTAAGGGTAATGATTTGCCTGTTAAAAGTAGGAAAGGTGGGTGGGAGGGTCCATTGCGGAAGTGAGATAACTTCTTGTCTATCCTGGCAGGAATTCTCTCCAATAATGTCCAAATCTGATCAATCAAGCAGTGGTAGCACCCGCATATTTTTTTAGAGATAAGGACATAATCACCAGATGAAACAGAAAGTGGACATAGATAATACTGGTTGACCCTGGAGAGCGGGACTCAATAGGGAGGGATTTGGGGGGGGGGTGTCATTATTTTCATTTTAACCAGGCGATTCTTTGGTTGAAATTAAAATGCAAGAGAAATACTGGGAAGATTGTCCGGGAGCCTGAGAAAAATTGTGGGAGAGTGAGCCTTGCTTATTCTCCTTCTCCTGATTAATACTTTTGTTTAAGATAATTTAATGACCTTCCTCCATGTGTTTTCCAGATGTTGGCTCAGTTGGAGGGGAAGAAAGATTCTGAGAGGGAGAGCGAGGCCCAGCCCAGGAAGCAGAGCTGAGTTTTAACCTCTGCATACCTGTGTGGTAGCTCCGCACAGAGCACCTCACCTCTTTCATTGGATCCCTTTAAGTTATGTGGCCAGATGACGTTAGGACCTAAATGCCTTATGTTCTTCAACTAAAAGGTGTCAAGTCCACTTTGGATTGTGTATGGCGTGGATGAAGTCATGGCGGCCCTGTAGAGTCAGGGTCTGCCCCCAGTGACGGTCTCAAATAGAGATTTGCTGGCTCCCCAAGATGGTAAACAGAGGGGAATGAGCAGACAATCATCTGAGGACTAGAGGCCCGAAGCACGAAGAGATTCGTGCAATAGGCCTTCCCTTCCCCTGGCTGCTGGTACCAGTTTTCCTCGGGCATCCAGGACCCATGCCTTCGCTCTGGCTGGAGCCTTCAGTCTTCGCTCTGCCACTTCATGCCTATGTATGCAAATTAACCACCATCTTTGCTGGGTTAATTTGCATACTCTCCTGATTGACTGGTGAGAGTAGCAGAGGGACCATCAATTTACATGTTTGTCTATTATTAGGTAAGATTCCTGACTCAACTGTTATTCACTCACACCTGAGGGCCATAGAGAGATTCTCAAAGGTGGGAAGGACTCTACCTTGTACCTTTCTTGAGCAAACTACTCAGAGAAGCCCTCAAACACACTGAAAAGGAGTCCAGGAAGGAATACCCTCTGCAGGCCAGACCACGCTGATGTGGGTTTCCCTGGAGCCTGAGAAGGAGCCCTCCCCGAGCCGGGAGCTGGCTTCCGGCGCATCGAGGGCTTGAAGGGCTCACGGCAGAATTCTGGCTGGTCGGGAAGAAGGTATTGGGCTGTTACTTATTTGCCACTAACTCCTGTTCCAACCCTCCTGTTGTGTCTCTCACAGACCGTTTTCGAAAGGAATTGCCGTTCGGAGGACTGTGCCGCTGACCTGCAGCTTCAGGGTCAGTTGTTGCTGTCCAGGTAAGTCAGTGCTCCTTTCGCAACATTGTTCTGGAAAGTTCCTTTGTCTTGACTCCAGGCCCAAAGCCTCAATGTGCAGATTTCCGCCCCATCAAAGAGGATAAATAAAGGTGGTGGGTTGCAATGCTATTTTGTGGTTTTAAAAAAGAAATGTATGTTATACAATAGTTTTAACAACAGCTATTATTTGGGGAGGGAGGAGGAGGAGTTTGGTTTTTGTTTGCAATTCCACATATCTCACAATTTAGCCTGTATTTCTAATTTCTGTGAATACTCGTGTGGGGGGGGGGGGGGGATGGATATTTTCTGTTTACTCGCTGTATTAAGTTGAACCATATGAAGTTGCCAATATTTAACTGTTTGGGACAACGCCTATGATTGGACCGATCGTTATATAAAGGTTCTTTTTCCTACCCGCCTCCCCTCACTTGGCAGTGGTGTCTGCTTTAACAACAATCAGTGGTTCTGTGGCCGGTGGGGGGCAGGCTGTCCTGGTCCAAGTGAGCAGCCAGTCTCTGTTGTTTCAGGGTTTCCTCCCACAGTCCCCGAGCCCCCCAGGCTAGAGGTGAACCGCACACACCCTCCCGCTTCCTCTTCGCCAACCCTGCCTTTCAGACTTCTCTGAGGATGAAGGCGCTGGCCTTGAATCCCTTAGCCACACTTCAGAGAATGGTTTCCTTTCCAGACAGTTCCTTCTGAAAGATTGCTTTAGCCTTGGGGCCCGAAAGCCCTTCCATATGATTTATGACCATTTCTCAAAAATCATCATCCGCTTTGATAGTTGTCCTCCGCAATGCCGTACCGTGTCCTTTGTTTGGATCTGTGAGAGTTAAGTGTGGGTGGAATGAAATATCCCCTCATGAACCAGTGAATACACTAGGACAGTTATGATGATAAATGTATTATTCATCAAAGGAAAGACATACTGAGATTCTTTGCCTTTTGTTTGCATTTATTGGGTGAAAGGTGGTGTAATCCCCTAACACACACACACACACACACACACACACACACAAATACTCCCCTGCACCCCTTAATATTAAATATTAATTAGCATTATTTTGACTTGGGACAAGAGTGATAGATTAAAGTCCCACATGCTTTGCTAAACTTAGACAATTACTTCAACCTGATGACGCAGGTCTTGGAAATTTTTAACATTAGTAAGAAGGGCCTCCTTGGATTATTAAAGAAACCAAATCTAAAGAAGCTTTCATAACTTATCAGGTCATTACTTTTAGTTTTAAATAGGTCTTCCAAAAAGTGTTTTAGGGAAAAAGTAACAGGAAACAAAATATAGGGACTTGTTTTGTTTTGAGGCAGACTGTAAATGTTGGACATGTAGTTTGGATTATAGAGAACTTCCTGTGGTGGGGGAATGCTCACTTGTTCCAAGGTGAAATATTAGGAAAGTCTGGATGTTCTTGCTGCCCAGTATTGAATGATCAAATCTCTATTGAATTGAGTTTTTCATATATTACCATGTATAACCCAAGACTGGTGATCAGTAAGGTACCTTATGCCTAAAGCTGCCTCCACTTCCACAACTCTGCCTCTTCAGAGTGTTGGTCTGAACCAGTTCTGCTCTGTGGGTCCAGTCATCAATAATGTATCAGCTAGCAGTAGCCACAGAATATGCTGCGTAACAAACCACCTCAAAACTCAGCGGTTTGAAACAGCAGTCACTTATTCTCAAGGTTCTGCAGGTCAGCTGAGGGTTGACTGGATTCAGCTGGATCTTGGCTGATTTGCTCATGCATCTGTGGCTCAGCAGTCAGTGGGGTTGATCTCAGCCAGACATAGGTGACCCAGGCCAGCTCTTGTTCATGTGTCTTTCATTGTCCTGTAGGGACCAGTGGGCTGGCCTGGGCTTATTCTTCTCCTGACATGGCAGTGGTGCTGGAGGGCAAGCAGAAACATTCCACACCTCTTGAGACCTGGGCTCAGAATGTGCATCCTTACCTCAGCCTCACCCTATTGGTCACCATGAGTCCATGGCCAAACTCGAAGTCATGGGACAGGAAAGTATGCTCTGAGCCTTTAGTGAGAGGAACTGAAGACGCACACAGCCAAGGGTACAAGAATAGAAGGGTTGGAGAATTGGGACCAGTAATGCTATCTGCCCTAGCATGTAAGGAAACCTGGGTGCTGGTGGCACCACCTGCTCAGTGCTTCAGAGAGCTGAATGGGTCATTACAGGGCCATGGAGCAGCTTCCAAGAAGAGGAATGAAGGGGAATGAGGAGGAGACAGGCATCCTGGGGAAAAGGGGGGAGGGAGATGGAGAGAGGAAGGCAGGGAAGAAGAAGAGACGGAGGGAGAAGGAGAGAGAGGAGAGAAGATAGCGAGAGGGGGAGAATGAGAGGATGGTATGGATCATGTGGTCCTCTGTTCCACTCAGTGAAAGTATGTTCCAGCTGGAGTGTGGAGTCAGCGACTCTCCATCCATCTTAGTTCCTACATCCCTGGCTCAGGTCCACAGAGTGGCCTTTGTCTCGGTGCAGGAGTACCCTTGGCGGGGCAGGGCTGGGCTTATGAGAGATGTGTTGATTTCCACCACGGTGCCTCCCCAAGGGCCATTTGGACACATTTCTTGCCTTTCGTGCTGTCTTTAGAACCTAGCTCTCACGTTCGCTGTGACTTACAGTACTGAAAAGTTGAAGCAAAGGGGCAAGGGAGAAGATCCCCCAGTGAGTGGTAGACGGTACAGTACAAGGTATTGTGTGTAACTGGAAGCAGCCAAATTCCCACCAGACTGAGGAGCCGTTGTCTTGGGAAGACCGAGGGAAAGACATCCCGAGTGATTGGGTGACCAGAAGGCCTGGGATCGAGCCAGGATAGGCTCTCTGTGACTGTGGATGTTTTCATTTTTCTCTCCAGAGAGTATGAATTCTGGCTGGCCTGTTGTCCCCCTAAAGCAATCAACTCTTTAATTAAAAGTTCACGATCGTTCATGGTCTTGAGTCCAGTTCCAAAACATGCCATATCCAGCAACGCCCAGGAATAGGGATGAAGCTGCACAGGTAGTTTTTATTGAACAGGACTGAAATTTCCATTTGTAAAATGATGCCGCGACATTTGTTTTGTCTGTCTGGACACTCACAGTTCCTAAGAACGCATCACGTGCGATTAGGTTAAAGAAAAAGAAATATAGACTATGGCAGTGGAGCTAAAAAAAAAAATTTTTTTTTTGATGCCTCCCATAGGAGACCAGTGGAACGTTTCAGTGCCTTCTGGCTAGCCAACTCCAATAATGAAAGCACCCTCAGGGGCAGTGAAAAGACACGGTAGAATATTTATGACCTTAGAAGAACCGTCTAGCGGCCACATATAACGGTCCTATGGTTATAGCCTTACTAATGCTATTATCGCGGTCAGGGTGGGGGAGTCGACTGCATTTCCCAGAACCCTTGCCTGGTAGTTGGGTAGCTTTGTCCACGAAAGACCGGCCTTCGAGAGGAGGATCGCTGAGCCCAGAGAGCTCTTCAGAGTTTGAAACAAATTGTTTTCCGTCTCAAAAGTGGCCAGAATTGCTAACTGTACCGTGTGGGGTAGAAGTAAAGTTGTCTTGTTTTATGAAGGGGAAGAGACCCCTGTTTACTGAGCAACTACGTGCAGTAGGTACCCTATAGAGTCCTCAGTATCCATAAACACCCTGTGTGTCTTACCAGCTGTGCAGCCTTGGGCAAGCTGCTTAACGTCTCTGGGCCTCTGTTTCCTCATCTGTAGAGTGGGAGAAAGAAGAGCAGCCCCTTCTAAAGCGAGGGTGGGGGGAGGCGGGGTTAAAGCTGGAAATGTCCATCTCGCCATTACTGTTGGGTTCTGATAGCAGCTGGTTCTAGACCAGAAGTACCAAGGCTGGGGACCTTGGGGGGAAAGTCCTGCCCTGTGTGAGTAGCCTCAGTGCAGAGGGGAGGTTGATGGCCCCTGATGTGCTGTCTGACCTGTGGGGACCTGCTTCATGGCTTTTCTCTCTGGAGATGTTGGCCGCCAGTCCTGTCCTGTTAATGGTGGTCCCTGCAGGAGTCATTGCATTCTGAATCCATGTAGGTTGAATTTTCCTCTCCTTGGAGGGTCTCAGATTTGACCATGTGCTTGTGGGCTGTCATATTAAGAGTTTTCTTGGTCAGCTGGCGTGGCTCAGTGGTTGAACATCGGCCTATGAACAAGGAGGTCACGGTTCGATTCCCCGTCAGGGCACATGAAGAAGGAAGGTGAGAGGGAACTGATCAGAAACCTTGCCAGAATATTAGCCATGTGATTTATTTATTTCTTCATTTCTTCACTTTCTGCTCCAGATCTGGCGGGGGTACGGGAGGGGGAGGAGGAGGCAGGGGGGAAGCAAAAGAAGTTTGTTGATTGGAGGCAGCTGGCTTTTGTAATTGCTGCTACATCCACTTTCTCAAAGAGTCTCAGTTGATGAGTTTATTCTGGAATTTCCAACAAGAGTGTTATATCACCTTTGGACACCAAGACTTTCTCCCATGAACTTCCTGGGAATGCTTTCTCCCCACGTTTTGCCAAACAGCCGACACTCTCCCATGGTCTGCATCTTGTTCCCTTTCCCCTTCCTTACCAGGCAGAGCCACGCATTGCCCACACAGCGAAGGGCATTTGGTTTGAGAGCAAACCCAGGAGCCAAGCCCGGGGCTGGGAGCCGTGTCCCGTTTTCCTGAGGACAGCAGCTGAGGGCTGTGTCCACAGGGCGTCGGAGGCAAAGAGGAGAAGACCTCTAACCCCTCCGTCATCCTGGGAGGGACCTGGGTGGCGCTGGGCCACACAGCTGTGTTTCTTTGGAGCCCTGGCTCCAGCTCCGCCCGGGGATGAGCACAGATGCTGACTCTGTGGCTCTGAGACACGCGTCCATGGTCCTACAGAGGAACGCAGGCAGAACGAACCAGACCCAGCTCACGGGTTCCTCGTGGCTGGTGGGTGGTTTTCGCGCATGTACTCGGAGCCGTGGCATTTCAGGTGCAGAACAGGGCGCTGACAGGCAGGGAT